TTGACCTGGAATTCATGGAGGAAACAACAGTAAAGTCTAGGACACAAATTCTCTTTCACACAATAGATAAAAAACACCGACAACTTGCAGGTTAGAGGCTTGGCTGAAAGAAAAAAATATATAGTGATGCTGTCTGTAATAGGAGACCAATCGGACAATATGTACTTTGTGGACTTTTAAGAGTCAGAATAACCCAACAGAGAGGGGATAAGAGATGAGAAACAGATCTGATCCCAGTCAAGTGTGTAAAAAATGACCGTATAAATTAAAAAGTGAAGCACCTCAAAAATGAAAAGGATTTAAAACTTAGAAAGCTGAAAGCCCCAAAAGACACTGTCAGCTCAGTAGAGCTCCAGAAAGACTGAGAGAAAGAAACAGGACCCACTCAAGAAGCTGCTGAAAGATTTTATGTGACAAGAAGGAGGAAAAGCAAAAAAGGCAAGCCAAGGAAGCCTCAGGAAAGTCTTCGCTGGCAGTACCACAATCTAATGTTCAAGAATGATGACAGAATACAGGTGATGGATTTTAGCCAGGAAAATGCCACTGAAATGTCACAAGAACAATCCAATGAAGAGGAAAAAAAACAGGCTAGCAGAGAGGAGAAGGTATGATGGGATTGTTAGAGTACTGAAGGCAAAGCTCAAGACATACAGAAATGGCTAGAAAGTGAAGGAAAGGCATTAGCTGGATTAACATTTTCTACTTTATTTTTTTAATTAAAAAATACCCTTATTCAATGTATTTGTACAACATATGAAAAGCTGCTCAGCTTCCACCTATTTCTGCAGGGCTTGTCTGAGTTCAACTCATTCCAAGATGAAAGCCAGTATTAAAACTGTACCAGACACTTAAACATCTTCATTAAAAGAGATAACTAAAATTCTGTATAGACAACCTTCAAACATCCTGAGCAAGTCTAAACAAAATTCAGCATAAAACATGTTTTTGCACATATTCTCTTTGAACATAACAAAAAATACATCTGGGAAGAATAGATCAAGGCTAAGGTTCTGAAATATTTTTACATGAAAGACAGAGTTTCATTAGATAATATAGGTCAGCCTGACACCCATCCCCTCCCCTAATATATAGATGTATTTTAACGTGGAGTTCCATTTTACGTCAGAGTTACATGCAATATTGACATAGCATTGACATCTCTGAGAACTGATTAGATGGTAGGATTGCATCAAGAAGAACTTAGCACAACTGCCAAAACAATGCCTTCCAGAATTCAAAACCCAGCAGTTTTCCCTTTCCAAAAAAACAACTACAGTTTGAAATATAATGACTATATTCCAAACTGAACACAAGTTTGGCATCCACCACTGTACATTTCTAGCATATTTTTAGAGAGACACACACATTAATTTCATCTCATGTGTGTGTACTATTTATGCATGTCAAGTTACCTTCATGCATTAATTATAACTTAAGTGAATAAAGCACCTTCATTGCATAAATTAAAAATACTTATGCTTCAAAGTGTAAATGAAAATTAACTTCTAAGATACAGTATAAAACTGTCTGATCTAAAAAAACCTCACAATAATCCACACATTTATTTACACAAGTACTGTTTCAAAATTTACTTGTCTTTCTTATCTCAGGAAACACCTTACTATTTTAAATAACTGTAAACAATTCAAAGTACTTGAATGTATGCAGAAACTTTTACTAAAAAGTGGCCAGAGGCTGGCAGTTCCCTCCCTTGCAATTTTCATGTTCTAAAATTTGTTTTTGTTCTCCCCTGGAACAAAATCAAACCATTCTGTATAACACAAAACCAGAACTGTCAAAACTTTTTTTTAGATCAAACTAGGCTTTTCTATTTAAGAACTATGAATGTCTACAATTTCAAATGTCTGCTTAAGCCAAATCAGGCTTCCATATCTAAATAGGATGATTAAAATTTCTCTGGAGTAACAAAGGGGTTTTTTGTGTTGGGCTTTTTTTTTTTAACTTATAGTAGACTAATTCTTTGTTGCTGTCTACTGCAATGTCCTAATTATTAGGTTGCACAGTGAGAACTCCTTCACTCTTTCTCAGCTTTGAAGAAACAATATACAGCACCAACATTTCATTATACTGGAATACTTCCAATGTGGTTTGCTTTAATGACATAGATGTGACTACCAATTTCTTGCCTTTGAAGTAAAATGTCTCAGCCTTATTTATAGCATGAATGGTAGAAGCTTAAGGATTTTCTTCCCAATTGCTTATTAAAAATGAAAATAAAGACAAAATATGGTTGTTGGGAAAACAATGTATCATGAATCAAAGTCAAAACACAATGACTCTCGTTCATCTTCTCTTTTACCAAATGATGTATCAGAAAAGGAAATTAGATCTAACAGTCACCTTCTGCATGAGATCTAAAGCTGGGTTTCTTAATTTACTAAAAAGCACTCACACTAATTATCTAGATTTGGCTCTAACAATAAAAAATCAGAGATGTCCTGGATTCTTCTCATTTGATGAGGTAATCCCTCATTCACAGCAGGCTGCACCATAACAACTTAGACACACACTGAGGCATCCCCATGCACAGCTAAGGTACCACAAGAACTGCCTCCACAACTCCTCCAAGCTCTCATGGTGCTGCTGTCCTCCAAAGACAGAGGGTTGGCTGACACAGGTTAGGATGCAGCAGCAGAGAGTGCAGATCATTACCAAATCCCTCTACACATTACTGGATTTCACTCCTTTACAATTATATTAGTGGGAGAAAAAAACACGATCTGATGAAACATCAAAAATTTCAAATACTAAAAGCAAGATCAGCTACAACAAGCTGAACAAGTACATTTGGTTCCCTTGACACCTGTCCCAGCCATGCTTTAGATACACGGTACCTATGGCTGACCTAAAAGCTGCTCTGATCATGAGAATTACAATGTCAATCAAGTGGTCAGATTTCTATGAACTCTGTTCTTCCTTAAAGTGAACACAAACTCTAAAATGACTACTGCTATATTTTGGGCAGGGTACTGCATTCCTTTCAAAATATTTGATTTTAACAGGCAAAATAACTATTAGCATATAATCTTCACACCGGCCTCTGTGCCAAGCTTCACTACAGTTGTGCTAACCTTACTGAATCCTTTATTTTCAAGAATATTTCATTTAGTGACTTAGAATAATTAATTTTTTTCCTGCCACCCCTCAACACTGAAATCAGCATCCTAGTTCCACTGGGAGTTGAAAAGGATTTTTCTTAAAATTCACAAAAATGCAAACCTTTTTCACAAGAAACCACTGTCATCACCATTATAACTTGAGACTTCAACTAATGGAACAGAGGCCCATGACACTAAAAGACAATTGGACTGGACAAAATAAACAAACTCCAGCCGCTGTTGCTAAAATAGAGGGCTGGGAGAATTGTGTGGACAGATGTCTGAAGAATCCTCTCCTGACTGGGAGGCTACGGTCAGGAGCATCAAAGGGGGCTTTGATCATTAGTGGTAGAGAAGAGGAGCAGTGAAGAGTCAGTGGGATTTACTGGAAGCTTTCGGTGACCTTTGGTGTTCGAGGAGGGTTTCAGGAAGTAAGCAAGCCTATGAGGGCTATGATGGTACAAGCCAGTAGCTTAGCACAAACTGTGGAAGCGTGCACACACCTGAGCATAGGAACTGTAGGAGACAGCGGTCAGATGTTGTATGAGAAGTTAGGGGAGATACTTCAGTCACCTCAAACCCCAGAATCCCCCTTACTCCACTGAAGGGGGTCTCCAAAATGAATGTCCTTTCTTCTTCCACAGGAGGAGATCCTAGTCATCTGTCTGACTCCCCATAGCTGCTGCCAAAGAAGTAGCAAGGGCTATGGCTCCACTGTTTACTGTACAGGGGCAAGGCAAGGCAAGGCTAAACTGGTGGTTGTGGCTACTCCAAGATGGAGAGAATAACATCTGTGACTGGGAGAGACTGCTCTTCAGCAGTTGCCACACGGTTGACAACTCACAGAAACTCAAGGTGAGGATAATTTATCCAGATACACTCCAGCTCTTTCAGCAAGATAGGCAAGATAAACATGGGGTAGAAAGCTGGGAAGGCTTTAGTACCTTCTTTTGAAAAGAAACCTCACTGTTTTGCAACCACGGGCAACTGCTTACTTCAGAACCTCTCATTCAGTACCTAAAGTAACTCAGTGGCAACAGAAGGTCAGCAACTAAGCTGTACTGGGCTGCATAACAGGCTTCTGAGCTGGATGGATACCTAATTGCTACCAAGTTATTGAAAGCAAGTCAATAAACATGTTTTTAGTTGTTTTCCCTGATACTCAACTGATACCCTTCCCTTCAGGTTGCATTTGTTAAGAAAGTCATTGTTGGTATTTAATTTAACATTTAAGAACAAAAGCTTTCATACAAGACTGCAGATATTTAAAGATAGTGAACTACCATTAGTGAAAGAAAAAAGCAATCCTGGCAAAACATCAGGGCTCTACACAAACGCATAAATAAAGTTATGCTCTTTAACATCTTTGTTTAATGTATGGTGCTTAACAGATGAGTTGCAGTGCCTCTGCCTAGGGTTGGGAGAGAAAGTACCCTGCGATAGGAAGCCACTGGAACGAAGGACAGCAAGTCCCAGACACGCCGGAGGCCGGCCGCTGGAAGGAAAGGCCGGTGGACAGGCCAGTCAGCACCCCAAAAACCGTGTGACAGCAGCACGATCCGCTCAAACACTCCCAGCTCCGAGCAGGGCCAGCCTGCCGGCACATCAGGGAGGGAAAAGTGATTACTCATGCCGCCGGAGAGCAGGGCAGCGGGAGCGGGGCCGAGCCCCGCGACCCCTCCGAACCGGGCTGCCGCCTACCTGGGGCGCCGCGAAGGCGGCGGCGGGCGGCGGCCCGCGGGGACGCGTCTCCTCCTCCTCGGGCGAGTCGTCCAGCAGAACTTTGCTGCTCTTGTTGAGCTTCCACATGGCGGCAGCGAGCGGCCCGAGGCGGGAGCGGCTCCGCAGCCCCGGCCGGGCCGGCGGCGCTCGGCAGGGCTGTCACCCCGCCGGGGGCTCCCGGCCGGCAGCGAGCGAGCGAGGGAGGAGCTGCCTGCCGGCGCCGGGAGCCCGCCCCCCGCCGCCGCCTCGCCCACCGGCCTGCGGATGGAGCCGGGGGGGCGGACCGGGCGGCCGGCGGCGGTGGGCCGGGCCGGGCGGGGCAGGGCCGGGAGCCACCGCCCCCGCCCCCGCCGCTCCTCACCTGCTGCCGCGCCCCGCCCGAGCCGCCGCCGCTGCCATGTTTGCGGGGCGGGGACACGGGCACAGCGGGCAGCCCGGCATCACCGCGGCAGCAGCCGCCGGCAGCACCGCCCGCAGCCTCCGCAGGCACGGGAGGGGGTCCCGCGGTGAGGGCCCGCCGAGCGCCGGCCGATGCCGGGAGGGCGCGGATGGCGCTGCCGGGCCGGCGGTGGCAGCGGGATATCTGCGAGGGTAACGCGCGGCACTCGGGGCTGAAGCTGGACCCGTCTGGGTAGCGAGAGGAGCGGCGCCCGCAGAGCGCCACAGACGGCCCGACAACGCTGCAGATGGTCCTGGCGCACCCCGCGTACCCTGCCCGTGTGCCTGCTGGTTTATCCACCCGTGTGCCTGCCGCTGTGCTCACCGGCGTACCCACCCGTGTGCCTGCCGCTGTGCTCGCCGGCGTACCCACCCGTGTGCCTGCCGGTGTGGCCATGAGTGCACCCAGCCGTGCACCCCCGCGGGTCAGCGGGTGCCTGTGAGCAAGGACGGGCTGCCCGGCCAGCCCCCAGGCTGCACAACCAGCCCCCAGGCTGCCCGGCCAGCCCCCAGGCTGCACAACCAGCCCCCAGGCTGCCCGGCCAGCCCCCAGCCTGCACAGCCAGCCCCCAGCCTGCACAACCAGCCCCCAGCCTCCCCGGCCAGCCCCCAGCCTGCCCGGCCAGCCCCCAGGCTGCCCGGCCAGCCCCCAGCCTGCACAACCAGCCCCCAG